TATCAAAATATATTATCCATTTGTCATTCCAATATTTTTATGCACTTATATGTTTATAGGTATCTTCTTACTCTAAAACAATATCTGCATAATCGGGCTCATCCCGAATGCTCAATAACTAGAGGTTACTTGATTAAGGAGCGCATGAATTTTTGTGCTATGTATCTCCATGATGTGGAAACCAAGTCTAACCGACCATTATGAAACTATGATGGTGGTGGGAACTTAGGTCATCCTTTGGGGGAAGGCCTTCTTTTTCTCCTTGATGATGAGACCATGGCACAGGCCCATCGATATGTGCTATTTAATATCGACTTAGTTTCACCATATGTAGAGTAAGATAAATGTCATTTTTTGTGAATTCCACTACTTGTAATTTATATGTGATTTGAGTACTACTTTGTACCTATATAGGGACCACCTTAGAGTCCTTCAATGCCAAATGCTAAATGCAAAGGACCATAACATCCATCGTGTGCACAATGGAACATTCCACACATGGTTTAATGAGCATGTATGTATCACACATGATAAATTGTATGCCACATTTGTTAACATGCATATGATATAACTATATTTTTAATCCTTTGGTAATATATCAAAAATAGGTTCAAACTTTTTGAAGTTAAGATGACATCCAGTTTGCAGATGAAATCAATACATTAACTAAAGGTCCTCATCGCACAACAAAGAGATATAATGCATATATTATCAATAGATTTCAGTTTTGCATACAAAGCGTGGACAGACGTTGAAGTACACAAAATAGTGGCGTTACTTTAAAGATAAGTACTGTGAGTTATGCAAGTAGTAAAGACAAAAACCCTCGTGTGGGGGTTGTGTCCTATTATAGAGTATTAACAGACATTGTTGTAGTTCGGTACACTAATGACATGAAATATGTGTTGTTTAAGTGTGATTGGGTTGGTAACAATTTGTGAAAGAAAGAAGATGCATATAAATTCACGTTGGTGAACTTCAACAATTTGTTTTATAAAGTTGATCGATTGACTAATGAACCATTCATTTTGGCATTCCAAGAAGAGCAGGTTTGGTATACGCCAAACCCTGTGGAACTTGATTGGCATGTTGCTGTGAAGATGTCCCAGAGGGATTTTTTTGACATGCATCATAAAGACACTCAAGTCAAGCCATACAGTAGTCAAAAATTAAATGAAGATATGATTCTTCGCGATGAAGATGTTGGTTAGGTTTGATAAGGAGTAGAAGGAGTAACAGTTGACTCGGTTGTTGTTATGATGGAGGAAGATGACATGGATAACCTTGATAATAGTTGAATATGTACTAGCATGCCATTGATATTTTATTTTTTATTTGAGTTAGTAGTTGTGTAGATATATTACTATTTTTTCCTATCTTTAATTACTTATATGAGTCACTTTCTTGAGATGTTATTATTGCGTATTTTTTTTTGTGCAGAAATTATTTATGTTTCTTCTGTATTCAACAACTATGATGATGTTATATAAAGACGGATTTACAAGGTATGTCATATGACCATGGCAGATGTGTTGCAATACTCTGCCACCTAGCCAGCATCATCAGCTAATCTTGTCCCACCACTAGTGCAGCTCCCTTAGAAGAGTTAGAGCACCCATCATGGAGCATTCATCACAGCCTAGTGGTTAGGCTATGACCAATGCTCCTACCCAATCATATAGGGAAGGTATTTATACTTTTTATATATTTGTAAATTTTCATTACATGGATGGATATTAGCTGTTTATTTTTTTATGTTCCCATCCAAATTATAAATAAATCATGACACAAGTGACTCATCTGCAATTATCGGGCGCTGTCGAGGATCAATAGTGGGTGGTAGGACTTGGGGTACTAATAAAAAGATGGAACTTCAATATGACAATAAGCAACAACCAGTTGGACCATTAGTTATTGAGTTTAAGTCAGAAATGGGCATTTTGGTTCACAATGGCCATCGATTACCACTCACATATCTTTCTTGGAGACATATATCTAAAGATACAAAAGGTTCGACCAAGGGGATACTTGATCGGGGACCTAGTCTTAAAGAAGGTCATGGAAACCACCAAAGACCCCGTAGAGGGGAAGCTTGGAGCTAATTGGGAAGGACCCTATAGGGTGACGACAGCTAGAAGAATCGAGTCTTATAAGCTCGGTACTAATTCCAAGGCCTTGGAGTTTGATGAACCTTCAAAAATACTACTTCTGAAATACCTTCAGGGCCAAGTAAGATGATTGAAGTACCTCCAGTCGTCAAGCTAGAGTGCCTCCAGCAAATAGAAATCTTTTACCTAAAGTATCTTCAGGGATCTCAAGTTAGAGGCCTTAGGAAATTGTAAAGAAAATTTTCATTTTTATTGAATAAGCATTTCGTTATTACAAAGTACCTTTGTGAATCCATTACAAATACTACACAATGAGCCTTTGCCAAATCAAAGGAAAAAAAAATGCTAAGAATGAGATTATGGGCAACAGACCTAGGAAGTCCTGGGCACGACTCAACCAATTGTTAAGGTAGGGAGGAAAAAATCCTGACAAAGGCAGGGATCTAGCTTAGGTGTAGCCACCCGATCAATCTTAAGTCCAATGCTAGGCACAAAGGTGTAAGCCAAATGGGTAAAGTTTTGAAATCGATTTAGATTAGCAAGTCAGTGCAAGGATGGAACAAATAACCTAGAACCAAGGCCCGAACCCTTCATTGAGGCCGAGGCCCTTTGTTAAGGGAAAAGGAGNCTGGGCACGACTCAACCAATTGTTAAGGTAGGGAGGAAAAAATCCTGACAAAGGCAGGGATCTAGCTTAGGTGTAGCCACCCGATCAATCTTAAGTCCAATGCTAGGCACAATGGTGTAAGCCAAATGGGTAAAGTTTTGAAATCGATTTAGATTAGCATGTCAGTGCAAGGATGGAACAAATAACCTAGAACCGAGGCCCGAACCCTTCATTGAGGCCGAGGCCCTTTGTTAAGGGAAAAAGGGATATGAAAAAAATATTCTAGTATGGAAGGTCCTAGCTCTTTATTGAGGCTAAGCCTTTTTTCTAGGGGAAGGGGGCACAAGTCAAAAAAATTTTATGTATGAAAGGCCCTAGCCCTTCATCGAGGCTAAGTCTCTTTGTTAGGGGAAGGGGGCATAAGTCAAAAATTTTATACGTATAAAAAGACTCTAGCCCTTCGTCAACGCCAACCCTCTCTGCTAGGGAAGGGGGCATTAGTCAAAAATTTTCTAAGCACAAAAGACCTTAGCCCTTCATTGAGGCCAAGCCTCTTTACAAAGGGGAAGGGGCATAACTTATCAATTCACTATGTATAAGGGTAATCTCTGAGGAATGGAGATCCTAGCTTGTCTTTTAAAACTGATTCTCTTGACTAGGATAGACACTAAACCATACCCAAGCTCTAGTTTCATTGGGGGGATGGGGGAGAACAAAGATATTTAAAGATTAACCAGAAGATTTCATTGACAATAAGAGTTCCAATCACCAGGGATTCCATTAAAAAAAATAAAGAAGTTGGAAATATGTTCAAGTGCTAGAAGGAGGAGGATTAGTCGTTGTAGTTTGCTTAGGGGGAGCACCTTTTGAAGAAGGAAGATAATTGGTGTGCCTTGAAAAGGGCTCTGATAGAAGGAACCATGGCAGCCATTAAGGCAGCATCATNGAGGAGGATTAGTCGTTGTAGTTTGCTTAGGGGGAGCACCTTTTGAAGAAGGAAGAGAATTGTTGTGCCTTGAAAAGGGCTCTGAACTAGAAGGAACCATGGCAGCCATTAAGGCAGCATCCTNGAAGGGGCATAACTTATCAATTCACTATGTATAAGGGTAATCTCTGAGGAATGGAGATCCTAGCTTGTCTTTTAAAACTGATTCTCTTGACTAGGATAGACACTAAACCATACCCAAGCTCTAGTTTCATTGGGGGATGGGGGAGAACAAAGATATTTAAAGATTAACCAGAAGATTTCATTGACAATAAGGGTTCCAATCACCAGGGATTCCATTAAAAAAAATAAAGAAGTTGGAAATATGTTCAAGTGCTAGAAGGAGGAGGATTAGTCGTTGTAGTTTGCTTAGGGGGAGCACCTTTTGAAGAAGGAAGATAATTGGTGTGCCTTGAAAAGGGCTCTGATAGAAGGAACCATGGCAGCCATTAAGGCAGCATCATTTGCTCGGCCTTCCCCTTCTCTGCTTTTTCAAAGCCCTCATCATAGGTCTTCAGCTTCTTTAGATGAGGATTAGAGAATAATTTTTCATTATAGAAGTATACTACTTCTTCAGCCGAGCCACCTTATCGCGAGCCGATTTCTCATTAAGCTCAGCCTTTATCAATCATTTGCCAAACTCCACATTCTGTTCCTTAAGTTTCATGAGATCAACCTTTAATTGAGTATCATCTTTAAGAGCCTTTGCAGACTCACTTTTGAAATGGCCACACTTCTTTTGCACGATANCTTTAGATGAGGATTAGAGAATAATTTTTCATTATAGAAGTATACTACTTCTTCAGCCGAGCCACCATCACAAGCCGATTTCTCATTAAGCTCAGCCTTTATCAGTCATTTGCCAAACTCCACATTCTGTTCCTTAAGTTTCATGAGATCAGCCTTTAATTGAGTATCATCTTTAAGAGCCTTTGCAGACTCACTTTTGAAATGGCCACACTTCTTTTGCACGACAAAGGAATTCTATAAAAGGCCCTTCTTCATCTCCTTATCCCTCTTCACAACCCAAGCACCAAGATTGTGCACTCGCTATAAACCCTAATAAGATAAAAGGGTATAGGACTAAGCAAAAATAATTATTTAAGTAAGTATGTGTATATCATTTCGAGCTTACCACCGCCATCAGTTGAAGGGCACTTCTAGCCAAGGAATCATCATCGAAATCCTAAGATGTTCATAGAGTAGGTAGAAAATTATTACCATACTCCAGTCCCTCCATAGAATCAGACTATGGTTTGACCACCGTCTTTGTTTTCTTTGAAGTATACTTCCCTCAAACTAGCTCTGTTATGGAAGAGAAGTCTTCAACAGGTTCGTCCTCCTCTTCTATTCCAACAGAATTGGATGGTTGTTTAGTCATGAAATCCTGACCTTCATCAAGAGGTTTCGTTTGGGTGGACAAAGGATGAACTAATAGGGATTCAAAAAGGTTTATAATAGGCACGACTTCAACATTAGCAATTGAGCCTAAAACTCCCCCAAGTGTGGGGTTAAGCACCAAGTCAATAAAGTTTGTAGCCACTTTGCCTCTCCCCGTTAAGCACCGAACGAATATTTGCACAATTAGTTTCAGGGTAGTCAAGGGTGGTGCTACAATGAGGGATCAATATGTAGGTTGATAACTAAGCAATGTGTGAGTAGCTTTATACCAAAGGTCTTGAGCACCGAACTCCCAAACCTTTCGTAAATAAGAAAAGTTTACCCTTAATTCGGGGGTTTCTCCTTTAACTGTTCTGTCTGCCAAAACTAAAATACAAAACCACATGTAAAAGCAAGGAATGAAGAGAGTACGAAGAAGAATGAATAGGCCATTGGAAATTACTTGGGGCACCTTCTTCTTAGGGACAATTATAACAAGGTTCTTCACCTGCTTGATGTTCCCAATTGCCAAAAACAAACAAGACATCACCTTCATGAACCTTGTTCAAATCATGGAGATGAGGGACGAGGTAGCGATCGGTTTTTCTAACCCTAAAATAGTAGTTGTCCTCAGGTGTGTGTGTGATAATGTAGTAGTAAAAGATGTCCCAAAGCCTTAAATTAATCCCCAACAAGTTGTTCAGGGAAACTACACCTATTACCATCCTAAAAAAGTTCAAGCAACATTGGAGTGTACACAGCTTTAGGACATGCAAAACCCACAATAGTAGAGGGTGGAGAGGAAACCTAACTCCACCCTCCTTAATAGCCATTGTGGGGAGAGGTATCATTTCCCTAGATCCTATCAAAGGTCTATCCTCAGCAACCTCAATGGTTATGTAGTCAAGAATGAAGCACCAGAATCTGAAGTCAAGGATTTGCTCGCAAGCTTACCATAGTAAAAGAAGTAAAGGTAGTAGGAATAAAAACATGGTTCCTGGAGCATGCAAAGGTAGATCATCAATTCAAATGATATTTTTCCCATTAAAAGGACACAAAAAATGCCTTCTTTGTGACATACGAAATGAGACCATTAAATGAAGTGAAATGATTACAGAGAACGTCTCTTAGGGAGAAACATTCTCTGGGGACAAGTGAGGGAGGCAAAATCTCTAAATCCTAACATGACAACTGATGATACTCAGAATAAAGTCCAAGTANATGAGACCATTAAATGAAGTGAAATGATTACAGAGAACGTCTCTTAGGGAGAAACACTCTGTGGGGACAAGTGAAGGAGGCAAAATCTCTAAATCCTAACATGACAACTGATGATACTCAGAATAAAGTCCAAGTATGAGCTCAGGCGTGGAGGTCAGACAAACAGGTCAGACCAAGAGGTCAGGAAAGAGATGCAGAACTCAAAGGATTAGAGCTAGAGCTCCCNGTCCAAGTATGAGCTCAGGCGTGGAGGTCAGACAAACAGGTCAGACCAAGAGGTCAGGAAAGACATGCAGAACTCAAAGGATTAGAGCTAGAGCTCCCCCCAGATGTGACAACAGTAGAAATGATAAGGGAACAACTGGATGACAACATAAATCTTACAGGTGGCAAAGATCCATATTCAAGGCACCAAATCCTTAACTAGCCAAGATCCTCTCCTAAGATCAAGGAGGGTTCCTCAAATAAAATGGCAGGGATCTCGGTGTAGATCCCGTGGAACTAGGGATAGCCCTATAAATACTATGTAACACCCCCAAGAGAGGAGGGGATCGAATAAAAAGTGATCGATCTTGTAAACCTTTCGGATGATCAATAGAGGAAAAACGAGCAAAANCCCTATAAATACTATGTAACACCCCCAAGAGAGGAGGGGATCGAATAAAAAGTGATTGATCTTGTAAACCTTTCGGATGATCAATAGAGGAAAAACGAGCAAGAGCCTCCATTAAAGAGTGAATTAGCCGAGCTTCTAAGCCGGTGAACCGCTATATTTTCACTGTGTTAAACCCCTAATTCCCCAACGAAAAATATCAATCCTTGTTCTTTCAAGCCTTGTAGCTCAAATCCCAATAGTTATACACTACTTATTTCATCTGCTCAATATCACAAAGTTGCACCACGTTGATTTACACCGTCAGTTTGGCGCTGTCTGTGGGAATGACTATTCATGTTACAAATATGCTGATCTTTCAATAATTGATGGTCTCAACTCGTAACATGAGCAGAAGCCAAACCAATCTACCACGAATACAAGAACAACAAGAAGCCACCAACGACAGACAACCCGAGAACGTCCCAGAGACAAATCCCCCCATGGGAAATCCCCACACAAACAATGAGTTGGAGGCCCTTCGCCTGGTTAATTAATGCCTAATACATTAGAATGAAGAGCTTTTGAAGCTCTTGCAACGCCTTCAGGAGGAACGACCGGCCCAAGAAGGCCAGAATAACCCCCCTTAGAGAGAGCA